AGCAGGCGGGTGGAGGTCGAGCGGGTGTAGAAAGGCTTCATTCTTCAAACCAGTGCTCCCCCCGACCCACGAGGAGGGTTTTTTAAGAGGAGTATAATTATTGACCCTCATCAGCACAAGAAATGCAAACATGCTTATTTTAAATGATTATTTTTAAAGTTTAATTGCTTATCAAGAATTATCTATTCTTGTTCTATAAACTTCAGGTTAAATTTTACATGCACACACACTGATACTGTGGAAGACGCTTTTTGTAGTCAACCTCTGCAAATTTCAACTGAGACTGTCACCAGCAGGGGGCAGCGTTTCTCCAGTACATGTCTGAGATGTTGTCAGATTGCTGCTGTTTAACTCCTGATATTTACTTTTAACTCCATCTTTTCTTGAGAGGCTCTGCTTTTCACCATTTTAAATAAAATCTCTTCTTTTTGCTTGTTAAATAAAAGTTAGACTGGCTCACAGCACCATTTCCTGGTACAATCTGGTATTACATGGAAGTACAGCACGGACCTAGTTCAGCTTTAGCTGACGTCTCCTCAACACACGGATGCTTTGGATATGATTTTTTAAAGGATGTTTTGATAGACTTTGTTAATCATATATAATATATTTTAATTATTTTTTTGTTTAATTGACTTAATTTAGTCGTGTTGCAATTATTCACCAAAACTTTGATACTGATGTACGTTTCATGTCTGCAGCTCTTTAAAACAGCTGTATTTTAACACAAACCATCATATTTATCTAAAAATAGTTACATTTTCTGTGTTTACTCATTAAAAATTAGAATATCATTATAAAATATTTAATAATTTTTAGGTTATGCTTTTTGTCACACTGACAATAAGCTGCATTTACCACATAAAAAAATGCTGCATTTTTAAGCTAATTTTATGACAAAGCAAGTCAGAAGTTTTCTGAACTCTTCGGCGGTGTGATAAAGTTCCTTCCATAGATAGGGGAGAAACAGAAAGACGTCCGTAGACGCTTTTATTATTATGTGTTTCCTCCTTCCTTTCCAAAGTCAACATGTCAGCATTATTAGCAGCGTGTTCTCGTCGTACTGACAGTTTTTCTTCCGAAGAGGAAATGTTCTCTGTATTTTATTCCTGTGCAGGACTGAGATGCACGGGTGAAAACAGGATTTGTTTTCCAAACATGGAACATGTGTGCACTTTAAAACGCTCGAAAGCGTTCACAAACACTTGGCCTGGTTTTGCCTGCACGCCACAGCAGCAGCAGTTATTGGTGCGGTGGAAGCGGAGCGGCTGCAGCTTACTGGCTGCTGCAGACCCGCCCCGTGTCTGGCAAACATTCAGCCTGCAGCGGTCGTTCCAGGCACTCCCTAAACGCTCAGCCAAGTTCACAAACAACAGCTGGGTTTGGGTTCTCAGAGCAAAGCGTCTGTTTGTATTTCTATACAGCACTTTGGGTTCGTATCAG